GGGGGGGTTCTGAGTGGGGTACGTGAGTTGTCAAGTGATCTTTGTGGGGTCTTGGGTAGGGTGTGTGGGTTCCAGGTGGAGAACTGTGATTCTGGATGGAGCATCAAGGTCCCAGGCAGGATGTGGTGGGGTCCTGGGTGGAGTACATGGGGTCCCATGTGTGTTGTGGGGAATGCAGCCACGGCAGCTCCACACTTTGCTGAGATTTATTCACATTTTTGAGGGCCCGGTGTGTCCAGCCTTGGGCAGTTGCACCCTGCTTGCCATCAGGCTCTGCTGCTCTAATCTCAGCTATTGGGGTGGGAAGGATCTGGAGAATCAGCCAGCCCCGCTGGGATGTCACCAGCGATGCTTCTGTCACTGCTGGCCAGGTCTGTTGGTGCCTCCTGGGACTGAGCCTCCCTGGGGAGTTCCCTTCTCTCACTGTCTCACAAAGGGCACCTTGGCCAGGAAGGAGGCCAGGAGGACTGAGGAATGTGTCAAGAAAAAGAACCAGTGTTGAAAGGGATGTCGTTGTGTTTCAGGAAAGGTTGGGAAACTGGATTTCACCACCTTTGAAGACTCTAGCAAATGTTTTTTTCAACGTAGGCTCTTGTGTGCTGTTTATCTCTTGTCCTACTTTGGGGGAGGCTGAGGAAATTTTGCGTTTGACTGTTAAGTTCATTGAGTTGTCTTGGATATCTGAAGCCCACAGCTTTSTCAGGGTTATTGGGAATGTTGTCARTGAAATAAAGGTTRTGAAAAATGAAAGGATTTGAAAATCACCATTTCCCACTGATAGTATTTTGGTTTCTTTGAGGACAAAGTCTGGAGGTAGAGGAAGAGTTCTGTTCTGTGTCTGTGTGGGTTCTTTGCCTTGTTTCACTTCAATTTTTATGCATTTCTGTCATTCAAAAATACTCTTGACAGTCTGTTGCATCGATAGACTCGTACTGCTTGGGAATTAAGGGGTTTAAAAATCCACTTGTAGATGGGAACATGTGTGGTTTGGAGCTGTTGTAGTGATGTTTCAATACAGAAAAGGAGTTGCTTCTCCCCACGCTCCTGCGTTTTGGCTGAAGCAGTTGCTTGGTTGGTTTGAGGCTTGGTGTGTTTTGTTTTTTTTAAGCTCCATATTTAAAATACCCATTTAATAGGAATTGACAGGTTTACAGTACTGCTTTAAGAGGACTGTTGTAGGATGATCACTGTTCCCTTCTCTTTATTTTATCTGTGCAGCATATCCCAACTCCTCACACAGGACCRTCCCTTTGCTGGCTCCCTCAGCCACAGAAACCAGCTGCTTTCACTGATTGCTCTGGGCATTTTTGCATCTCAAAAAAAAGCAGTTCAATAATAAATTCCCATTGCTAGAATGAAGCTGGAATGGTTTGTGGCCGTGCCAGTGTGGCTGGTGTTGGCAGTTTCACAGCAGAATCCTGGAGTGAATCTGAGTGGCACGTACGGAGCTGTGCTGCCGGAGCTGGCTTTGCTACTTTGGGCTAGCTCATCTTTCCAGTGCCCTCTAATTAGCTGAGGGGTTTTTTGTTGATTGTTTCTTTTTATTTTTTTTCAACAGAGACTTATAAATAAACCAGGAACTCCGTAGAAAGGGATAAATATTTAATAGTTTGGCCTTTGCTTGCTTCCAATGAGCAGTGGTACCTCCTGACGTTTATTCAGTTTACATTGCATATGCTGGTTTGGAGAATTCTTGTTGAACCAGGTTCTCCAACTGGAAGGGAAAAACTGAATTCCCCAATGAGAAGGGAAACATGAAGCTTAGAAAACTTCTCCATACTTTTCAGTAATTGCATTATATTTCATCATTCTGAGTAAACTTAAAAGTCTGTCTTCATGTTGTTGATCTTGGATGCCAAGAAGTGGATTAAAATGACTGAATTGAGTTGGCTGAGGTGTGTGAGTCAAAGGGAGAACCCCAAAYGGTGGGGTTTGAGGATGGCAGGACTGGACCCGTTGGAAAGAACAGATGTGTGATGGTTGTGGAAGGAGAAATCAGCWCACAGTGGTCAGGGCTGAAGAAGCAGCTTCAGGATGACAAAGATCCTGATTAGAAGATGAAGATGAAGAGCAATTGGTTGTCTTGGTGACCGTGTGACCCGCTGTCTGTGCAGTGGGGAGGTGCAATTTGCTCCTGGATAAATGCATAATTTAAATTCCTTATTTTATCYTAGTGCTCATATTACACAGCTCTTTTATATTTATAAACCAGGTTGGCTTTCAGGACTTCCTGCAGCCATTTCTGATGGCATTTTCTCTTGTACTGTAGGGCAGTTTCTTTTACATCCACCCTYGGAATTGAACATTGAATATCTATAAGTGTGTTTCTGTTCCAGAGCACTTTGATGTAATAACTGCCTGGGACACTGAGTGAGGTTCTTGTTTAGGAAATTGCTGCTGACGTGGGTTTCTGCAAGTTGCTTGCAAATGAGAATTTTAAACTAGATCCTTTTTTTTTGCTGTTTGGCAGCTGTTTGAGAATGAGGGTTAACAATTTCCATTAGGATTTTAGTTGAAATTTTMATGGTTCCTCCTCCAGGTGCACTTGACCTTCAACACATGAATGAATATTTTATCTAAGGTGCTATTTTGGTTGTCATTAGGTAACTGAGAAAATAAAAACTCCATTATTTTGTGATCCTTGATGTTTCAAAAGGGGCAAAAAGTGATGGAGTTTTGTGGATAGTTTCTGTTTCTTCAGAAAAACTGTTCTTAAGCAACTGAGAAGTGTTGTCTGGTACAGTTAATGGTCCTGCTGAGTCAGATTCTTCCAAGAGGAGATGTTTATTCATTCTGTGCTTAGCCTACACAACAAACTGACCTGTTCCCAACCTGTGTGGGTGCCGAAACTCTCTTGTGGGTGATGTGGATGAGTCAAAGCCATCTCAGGGCTGCTGGGAGGATMAGATCTATTTTTCCTGGCTCTGCAGCCTGTGGCAGCACTGATGGTTCTGGTGGGGCTCTCTGGTGCTTTGGGAGATTCTGTTGAGGGATAATGTTTTTCCCTGTGGTGGGTTCTGTGAGATCTGCAGGAGCAGTGCTGATCAGAAGGTGGGAGGCTCTATGACTGATTTTCACAGATAGATGTGTCATGAAAATGAATTTCACATACTCTTTGTTTTCCTCCTGCAGCTTTATGTTTCCCGTGGCAGGTGGTTTGGGTCCCCCTCAAGGTATGTATCAACTTCACACTTTGAGTCCAGAGTTCTTTACTTTGTTTAGATAAATTAGACCCAAACCAGTTCTGCAGTGATGCTCACAAGCGTGATTATTAAGCTGTTTTTGCYTTTAAATTCAGCTCTGCTAAGCTGACTCTTGCCCCTCTGATGAAACTTCCTGTGTGTTGTTGAAGCAGAGAATCTAGATTAAAGGTCCAGGAGAACTGCATCTCCTTTTTTAACCTGAATTTGCCTTTTAGATTCTTGTGTTATTTTGAGTGTGGTATTTCACCTCTTCTCTGCTTCATCTCCCAGCTGTGCATACCCATCTTGTGTGGGTGTTGCAAGACCTGGTAAATATTTACAAAGCACAGCAAGACCCTGGGACAAGAGTCACAACCTGTGTGGAAAGTATTAATACCAGAGGAKAGCCTCAGCCTTAAATTGCCTTTGTTCTCATTCCTGATGCAGTGTTGTTTGTTTAATTAGGGGAAAATATGCAGAGAACTTGTGGGGGAAATGGAGASTTTTCTTATAAAAATCTCAGGGACTGATTCATGGATTGTTCCTGCCTGTGTCATGCCCTCCTGGAGTGTTTTTGCATAATTATCTCATGGTGTGCTGGTAACGAGTGTGTGTTAGTGTTTGTCTCCCAAGACAGCAGAATGTGAGACAGGAAGATAYTGAAACATAATCTACTTGCTTTATTCAGTGAATTAACACATTCCAGCTTGATTTGTCCAATTTTGTTCAAGTTTAGCTTTTACTGACAAATATTGTTATCATTCTAACACATGCAATGGGCTAATTAACCTAAAGTGTGCTAATTAATCTACAGATAAGCTATCCAGCCAGGTCAGAGAGTGAAGTTGCCTTGTGAAAGGTTGACTTTATTTCCTGAGATTTATTTTCAGAAGCTGCTGGKTTCGAGACAAATGGGAATTACCAGCACTAGTCAACCTGGTTAATTAAATCTTTTTAATTGGAAATGACCCTTCCAAAAATCATATGGGAAGAAACCCACAGAGAATCCTTAGGATGGTGGGAGAATTCATCAGCTTAGTTRCTGAAAAGTCCTGTAACATTTTTTCCTGTAAACTGACCAGTGTCTAAACTAAGGAAATTCTGTGGTTGCCTGCAGTGTAGTGAATTTTTATTTTTAAACAGTCCAGCAGGGCTCAGAGTTTTTTACTTTCCTTTGCTGGTTTAGTAAATAAAAAAGAATAATTACATCGGGGAGGCAGGGTTAGGGAAGAGGGGGGAATGCTTTAACATTAACTGGGCACTTACCTTGTTTAATGTTTCATTGCAGGGATGATTCCTATGCAACAGCAAGGATTCCCAATGGTTCCTGTCATGCAGACCAATATGCCAGGGATGATGGGAATGAATTATGGCTCTCAGATGCCACCTGGACCCATGGCCATGCAGGTGTGTGRCAATGAAACRTGGAYTGAAATCRYRGAATCYCAGAATGGTTTGGKTTGGAAGGAACATTAAAGCCYATCCAGTTCCACCCYATGCAATGGGCAGGGACACCTTYCACTGTTCCACATTGCTCCARRCCCTGTCCAACGTGTCCTTGAAGTSTTYCAGGGATGGAGCAGCCACAGCTTYCCTTGCAGGGTCCTCTCACAACTGCAGTGGGGTGAGAGGGTGGAACCTGGCTGGGAGCTCAAGTGTGGGTGTTAGTCTGTMGTGGGACATCTATTCTGTAGTATTCCCTTTGAAGGCATTTCTGATGATTTAAAGAATTCTCCAGGTTTCCTGGGGATCTGGATAGAGAGTGGGGGAGTTTGGCACACATTACTCACTGCTGGAGAGATGAGGGTGTAGTGCAAGGACAGCATCAGTAGTATTTAAGGTAACTTGGAGGTTTTAGCCCCCTCAAGGTGTCAGAATCTGAACTTTGATGTCACTGTACATGTTGTGACACCTGAGTGTGATCAGAGCAGCCTGGTGTGAGCAGGGAAGGAAATAACAGCATCAGCCACGTGTTGAAAAGCTCCCACGTGCGACCTACTCCCAGGTGGGGTTAGTGCTGGTGTGGAATTGTTCAGAATTCAAAACTCCCACTGTGGATCTCTCCTGTCTTTTGAATTTTCCTTTGTGCTTTTACTTATTTTCTTTGGTTTTATGGTGGTGCATCATGTACTATTTAAAATGAGGTCTTTCTGAGCTGGTAAGGAGTGACTGCAGTCTGTGCAGARCTGTGACCACTTCACTGAATTGTTYCATTCCTGTGCAGCTCRAATACTGGAATTAATAGAATTAATTAGAATTAAATTTAAATTAATAGAATTAATAGAATTAAATTTCCTGAGTGTTGGTGACAAATCATAAACTTTCTTTTTAAATACCTTGTTCTAGAGAGAGGGAATTTCTTCAATGTGCTGTATTTTCTCATGTGAGCAGTTTTCCCTTTTGTCTAACTTCCTGTATTTGTCTCATTTTCCTTTTTCCTTAAAGCAACTTTGTCTTTAGTGCTGCTGTTGCTACTTGAGGAATAATAATGAAATATGAGCAGCTAATATTTTCTCTTTTAATCTATTGTTTTCTATTTAGCACCATATGTGCTTATGTACAAACTTGCACTTTGCYGAAATTTAATGTTTTTGCATGACTTTCTAACCAAATTGCTTTGTCACAAATTGAATTTATTGTGTTTTGCCATCTCCTTACACTCCCTTCCCTCCCCCACCCGGAATTTATTACGTTATTTTTGTGAAATTTATAGTAGGAAGATGTTTTTATGAGGGCTGCTCTAAAAATAATAAACAACTTTTGTTCTCTTCCTACGTGTTCTGAGACCAAATGCAAAATGAATGGTAAGAAAAGTAAATTATTTTCTGKCTCTTTCTATATTAAGCAGCTTTGCTGCTCTAAATGTCCCAGAATATATTTCTCAACAAATGTTTCTGAGACAGTTTATTCAGACAAGGTTCCTCTTGGCTGTTGCCATATATTGTTGGTTTCCTGGATATGTTTGAGAAATAATTAAACCACGTTTTCCAGCATCCATGGGTGTGCTGGTAACGAGTGGAAATAGAATAGGAAACAGAAATCCCAAGACAACCCGTACTGAGCCATGTAGGATGTCTGTAGCCAAATCCCAAGACAACCGGTACTGAGCCATGTAGGATGTCTGTAGCCTTTCTGATTGAATGGATGTGAAGGCCTGATTTTTGACAATGACTTCCCAGCTGCTGTGAGGAGTGTGAGTCTTTGTGGAGAGGAAGAGTGCCATCTCTTGTGGAGAGGAAGAGTGCCATCTACTGAGGGCAGCAGCTCTGCTCAGGCACTGCTCCTCCAACACTTCCAACACTGAATTTTACTGAATTTTTCAGCCCACTTTGCAGCTTGGCATTGCCAGCGGTTGGCTTTTTCTGCAGAAAAAAATAAAGAAAATACACTGGAGTTGTAAAACAATTGTGTGGTTTGTTTGGTTGTAGGGTGGCATGGCCCTGGGGCCGATGCCCACAGCTGGAATGCCCTACATGGGACAGGCTTCGTTCCTGGGAATGCGCCCGGCCACCCCGCAGTACACCCCGGACATGCAGAAACAATTTGCAGAGGAGCAGCAGTAAGTGATGCTTTACTCACTTGGGGAATCCTTTTTCAAGTGAAAGATGTTGTTTCTCTGGAACAGCATCCATTTAGGGCTGAATGGCATATTGCTGAATATACCACTTCCTCAGTCTAGGTCTGAGGAAAAAAAGGAATATTTTCCTTTCTCAAATTCTCARTCTAATTTGAGACAGTAGAAATGGAGAAATCAAGCAGAAACCTGCCATGAAAATTATAATGAAAATTGTTTATAGAGTTTGATTTTTTTTTTTTAAATAATTTTTCTTCAGGAAGAGGTTTGAGCATCAGCAGAAATTCTTGGAGGAAGAAAGAAAACGGCGGCAGTTTGAAGAGCAGAAACAAAAGCTGAGACTCCTGAGCAGTGTGAAACCGAAGGTATAGCCCAATAATGAGTGGGGTGTTTCTTTCTTCAGCTTTTTTTAATAGCTTTTAGTGGGAGGGTTCAAGGAGCAAATCAGTGGGAAATTGCATGAGACAGCTGATTATGTCTTGAAAAACCTCTGGAAGAGTCAGTGCTTTACACACTCTGTCAGCAGCAGGCATTGCCAATTCTGGTACTGAAGAAGTGTGGGCACTGAAAGAAAACTGAGTTGTTCTGTGAATTTTTCMAAATGTTTTCTGTGGTGTTTCAGACAGGTGAAAAAAGCAGAGATGACGCTTTGGAAGCCATTAAAGGGAACTTAGATGGCTTTTCTAGAGATGCTAAAATGCACCCAACACCAGCAGCACATCCAAAAAAACCAGGTTTGTAATTTTCCTCATTTTCCACCTAAAAATAAAACTTCAACATTTGAAATCCTCAGCAGGGGGAAGTAATTCCAGCAGCTATTTTTATTTGGTGGTACAAAATGAGTGGATTAACTATTATGTTATTCTAGCAATTATTTGCTTCATCAGGGTATAAGGGTGAAATATTAGATACTTTTTATAAAGACTTGAAATTTTTAAAAGAAAGCCTAATGTGCTGAGCTAAATGTGAAACATCAAGGAAACTGATAAAGCATTTGTTCTTTTCTAGTCAAAGCATTAATTAATGTTTTGCAGAGTGCTTTTTGAAGATGAGAAGTGCTATTTAAGTGCTAAGAATGATCAAAACTATATAAAGACTTGAGTGGAGAGTCACAGCTGACTGATGTGGCGTTGGGCATGGTCAAACCAAGCCTCTGTGTTCTCAGTAATTGCAACAATTGCCACTTCAGATTTCTTGTGGTCTGTAGTGTAGTTTTTTTAGTGTCTAGCCAGAAACAAAGCTTATCTAGGTGAGTTTTTTCTTTTTAATAAAATTTGTGTCTCTGCTGTGGAATTACTCCTTGATAATTTTGCAGTTACAGGTGGTTTCTGACAACTTCCCTTTGTAGATTTGCCTGTCCTTCACCAGTTCTGTTCAAATGGGTAACAGTGAAAAGAATCAATCAGAAAATTCTCTACATGAGCAGACATTTCTTGTGTGTCTTATGATATATTACTGAGTTTCTGTGGGTAAAGCATTCCTTTGAGGGAGAATGTCCCCCTGACAGACCCCATTATGTCCAGTATGAAGTATTACCTCTGGATTTGTTTTGACCCTGTCTGCTTAAAACAGAATACTTTCACAGCCAGTGTTAAGAACCAAGTTTCAAAGTGTTTGCATCCTAAAAATCTGGRAGAGAAGATGCACGGTTGGAAGTGGCTGCTCAGTTTTACCTTGTGTTTGCCACGCTGGCAATGACAACCTTCACATCTGTCACCARACTTGTTCCACGCTGCTCCTCCTCGCCCATTTGCTGTGTATTCCCAGTGTTTGTCACTTTTCCCACATTCCCACCCGTGACCCTTATTCCTCATCACTTTGCCTTGTGTGTTCATTCCATTTGCAGATCATCCCACACCATCCCATTCTGCTGTATCTGTTTCCCATTCTGCTTTTCTCGATGATGAAGAATTTAGTGACTTTATGCAAGGGCCTGTTGAAACCCCCAAACTGGTGCCTCAATCCACCTCTCAGCCTTTCCATCCTGCCACTGAGGCTGGGCAGCTGCTTTCAGAGAGGGCTGTGCTCCAAACTCTCCCTCCAGCCCAGGCTCCAGTGTTATCCACCCTGCATGGTACAACTGGGCAGGTTCCTTATTTTCCTACCTCTGCATCTTCATCCAGTACCCATAAACCAGGTAACTCTAAAGTATCTTTTTCTACATGTCTCATTCTGAGCTACACAGAGTTTTTACTTATTTTGTTGGGTTTTTTTTGTTTTCAGTCTGGCTGGAAGCAATAATATGTAGGCAATTTAGCAGAAACTTGCTGATCCATGGGAAAAGATGATTTAAGTCCCMTTCTCCCTTCCCTTAGAACTGCCTGTAAAAGCAAGTCATGTGTGGGTCCAGGTCCTGCTAAATACACATATTCCTGATCTTAGGTGAATTAAATCTTGTGTTTTAGCATCTTCTTAAGAATCTGTGGTAGAAAAGACAGTTGAGATGATGGTATAAGAAATAAAGATTATGCTGCTGTGAAGCACTTGTGTGCCTCCTCCCTTGGAGGCTGAAGGGATGTTGGTGAGATGAAGAATTTTGGAGATGTAAGTAGATACTGGGCATTTCCACTCCTGATGCCTGGATAATTATGCAACAGTGATCCTAATACAGAAATAGTTTAATGTCTTCATCCTTTTGTTTTTTGCTTGTTGAATTTGTTGTGTTTGTGGTAAGTAAAGGGCAGAATTGAGCTCTGAAGGTGTTTCAAGAGGTTGATGCTGTTGGTTTGAGCTGGGATGGATCATCTCTAACTCATCAATGGTACCAAAAGTACTTTTCCTTTGAAAAGTATGGAATTGCATTCTGGGCAGATCATAACAAAAGTATGAATAATTCCTCCTGCTGTTTATTCAGGCTCTTCCTTGGAGGAGAAAGCYTTAGCTAATGGCTCAGATGAATCTGAACAAGAGCAAACCAAACTTAAAACATCCGAAGTTGGGCACAAAGCCTCGGCTGCAAGCCAAGCCCATCCCAGTCTCACCAGCAGTGACTGGGATGTTGTAGGTGGACATGAAAGTGGTCCCACTGCTGCTGCAGAGGTGCACAAGGCTTCAGAACAAAACAGAGCAGTTGAAGAGTGTGGTGAGCAATCAAAACATTTGACAGAATTTCAATCTAATGAGATGCTGCTTGGTGCTAACGCTCTGTTCACTAATTCCAAGGCCAACCCTGCATCATTTTGCTCTGAACGCCTGCTTGAATAATTTGTCAGTGCCTCCTGCTCCTTGCTCAAAGTGTAACTGCCATGATTTTGCTCTGAACTTTCTCCAGTGAGTTTATTGTTGCAATCACCTTTAACAYGTTTGTTTAATCAGGTTTGCTGTTTTCAAATATTCTGTCCTGTCTTGGGGGAAAATAAGTTGTGTTCTCCAAAGATACTTTTAAAAAACTATTTAGGGGAAGTTACCACTAAAGATGGTCAATGTCATGGTGGCTTTTACTCTTTTAACCTTGAGGGGATAAAATCTTGTCAGGTTAAAACTCTTAGGCAGTCAATACTTGTTTCTCAAGCATTTGCTTACATTATGTCTAAAACTACCTGTGCTTTAGAGATGAATATTCAAAAGATGGTCTAGAGGAAAACTTAAAGCAAGGTTTTCTTCCAGTTTGGTGTTAAAACTGTTGACTGAGTATGGAAGGAAGGTTAAAATTGAAGAATGATAATACCTGAGGAAGTAGCAAATTTATTTTACTTGGTTGGTGAAATGGAAGGAATTGTGTATGTGCTTCGAGTTGTGGGATGATCAGAAATCAGACTGCAGTCAAGAGGGAATCCATGTGGAAGATGAGGAGATGCAAGGGCATTGGGAGAGACAGTGGAATCTGGAATGATGCTGGTTTTGGTCAGAACTCCAGATGAGCATAAAATCTGCTGAGAGTCCACCCAGWGGAGAGGGAGATGATCAGTTTGCAGGGAGTGAAGTGTGGCAGGTGGTGTTGTGAAAGCCTRGAGTAGTGAGGGGGGCTGTGGTGTCCCCAGGAGCTGAAGGCTGGGAGCAGTGGATGTGGGTTTGGGGATGTGGGATATGATCCTGCTTGTGGATTTCCCAGGTGGGGATGTTCTGGGGGAACATTGTGGGATTTATGGTCGGTATGGGWTTATTTATTCCACAAATAGCAGGGGGTTGATGGGAGTGTTATGACACAGAACTGCTGCTGTGAAACTTTTAAGGCAGTGAGACTTCAGGTTCTGTACATCTGGACATTGAGAGGGAGGCACGTGAGGAGCTCCTTATTTCATTACATATGTAACTATAATCTTCTATTACTGCCAAATCATTCTAGTTATTATTTCGTATTCCTGCACTATCTGTTTTCTTTCTGAGCACAGTGATTCCTACCTGAAATCTTTGCCTGAAATGCTGAATGATGCTGACCAGCTGTGGTCTAATCTCTTAAGATCATTGTACTCTGGCTCTGTATCCTAACACAAATGTTTTTCTTACTGGATGAAACACCTTTAGGAGTTGGAGTGTTCCCTCCCCAGGACCCCATCCAGCAAATGATGCCTCCCTGGATTTACAAYGACAGCTTGGTCCCAGGTAAAGCAGCCAGTGGGCATTTTGCCAGGTGGGCAGTGCAAGGTGTGAATRTCCCTGTGCTCATGTAGCCATTTATTGATCAAAGGCTTATTCAGTCATCAAATGAATCCTGGATCTTTGATATGTTAYGTATTTATGGTGTCTTTATCTGCGTTTGAAGACATAGGGGTTTTATTTGAGCATGTTAACAAATTCTAGATTAAACATTTATGGCAGCAGCTTATCCCAGTAGAGGYTGCATTGCTAATAATGCTGCTTTCATGGGTATTCTGGTTTTTGGCATGTCTTGTAATTAGGCAGGCTCATTTCTGAAGGCTATTTGTCTTCTGTGTGTAAATAACACTGTGAATAGAAAATGAAATGCTGCAGTAAATATTGATTACACTGAGGTTTAAATACATAAAGCTCTTAGAACTATCTTTTTATATGGGTTATCCTGCAATTTCATTAAAGAAACGTGRTTTGAAATGCAGCTTTAAGTGTATTTTATATAAAATATTTCTCTGCTTGTGTTAAGGCTGTCTATAAAGACCATCCAGTAACACATTTAGATGAAACATGATAATGCAATTCCAGAATGCTATTTCTTTCCCTTCCACTGAGTGCTATTGGTTTGATAGCACATTGAGCTTGAGACAACATAGAAAAGCARTATGATTTGAAAAGAGCAGTTGTCACTAACACTGCCTTCCTCACAACAGATCTGTATAAGAAAATCTTGGAAACCACTTTGACTCCTGCTGGAATAGACACAGCTAAACTGTACCCCATCCTGATGTCGTCGGGACTGCCCAGGGAGACCCTGGGGCAGATTTGGGCTTTGGCCAACCGTACCACCCCCGGGAAGCTCACCAAGGAGGAGCTCTACTCCGTGCTGGCCATGATAGCAGTGACCCAGGTATGGCTCTTGACCCAGGTATGGCTCTTGAGCCAGGTATGGCTCTCAGCTGGCAGCTCTCTGAGCAGCCTGCCCTGGGCTGTGTGGCAGCACTGCCCAGTGGTCACAGCTCTTGTGAAATTCTGCTTCTGTTGAAGTCCACAGGACAAACCACCCTTGTAACTGCAGTGAGATTATAATCTTACCAATTCCACCAATTACATTTCAGATACTCCTTTCTTTAGTGTCAATTGGAGTTCTTAGATACATATACATGCATTTTGTAAATGCATTTTTAATGTCAAATGCAGCAATGACAGGACAAGAATATATGGCCTCAAGCTGTGTCAGGGGAGCTCAAGCTGAAACATCAGGAAGAATTTATTCATGGAAAGGATTATTAAGAATTGGAAAGGGCTGCCCAGGGAGGTGCTGGATTCCCAGTCCCTGGAGGTGTCCWGGGATTGGCTGGATGTGACTCCCAGGGAATGTGGGAGCTTTACTGGGAGCTTGATCAGTCCCTGCTCGTTGTTGGCTTCAATGCCACTGATGCCTTATCAATCAGGCTGATCTGAAAGAGAGGCCAGACAAAGTTAAGAGAATGAGAATACACAACTTTAATCCAGGCCTAACAGGCCTACTGGTACATTAGGGCAGACAAAAGCCTCCTCCTGAGGCTACACCCAAAATGGACACCGAGTCACGAGATCTTCACCTTTTATAGGTTCTGCCTTATTAACATATTGGGTGTTAATTCTCCAATGATCTTTACAGGTGATGATGTCAACCACCCCAAACTTGCTCTCCCCCAACTCGCTGTTATTTCCATATTTTGGGGCTCTGAGGTGTCCTTGGATTCAGGCTCAGAGAGGGATTGTTCTGTCTAAAGATGAAAGAACGGGAGTTTTAGTGTTGTACTAGAGAAGTACAAGAATACAGATGCATGAAAATAGAGAAACTAAAAATCCTAAGGCATCAACACAGGCTACAAACCGGAACTAAGAACACACCACTCCCTTTTATCCATGCTGCACGTGTAACTGTCTGTCTGCTCCTTTTTTCTGCAGAGAGGGATCCCCGCCGTGAGCCCTGACGTGCTGAACCAGTTCCCAGCCGCGCCCGTCCCCACCCTGTCCGGGTTCCCGGTGCCTCTGCCCGGCGGGGTGAGCCAGCCCCCGCTGCTTCCCGCGGCTCCTCCRGCCTCCGTGGGGCTGGGCATGGGACCCTCCGTGATGGGCATGAGCATCCCGGCTCCAACTCCAGCCCCAGCCCCGGCTCCAGCCCCTGCTCCAGCGGGAGGAGCTGCAGCACAGCCTTCGGGAGCCTTCCTGCCCTCCTACCCTCCCGGCCCGGTGAGCAAACCTACACACTGAGAACAAAATAAATGGCAAAAAAAACCCAGAGCTGAAATCCAGCACGTGATGTCTGAAAACATTGAGTGCCACTGAGGGCGTTCTTTATTTTTTTTTCTTGTGGCATTAGAAGAGCAACAAAAGTGTTCTGTATTGCAAAGAGGATTTTAGTTGTATTTAGGGTTTTGTAATGCACATAAAATGGAATTTTAGGTTGAACAGCACAACAGACTCTTAATAGCTGGTAAAATWGGAGTTTTCAGGAGAAGCTGAGAGCTCTGAAAACCTTCAGTTTACAAAGGTAAATCATGTGGGGGATAAATTTTTGCTGTTTGCGGATGTGGTTCATCCTTCGGAAAATACTTCTTGTGGTGCTATTAATTTTAAATTATTAATTGATTTAAATTATTAATACTTGTCCTGTATTAACAGATGAAATGGCTATGATCAATAACACATTTATTGTTAAATGAGTAGTTTTCCTTACTCATTCTTGCTCCCTGTAATCCTATGTGTGTTTGAGTAGGGTKAGGTGTGGACAAAGTGGAAATGTTGATGATGCTTATGTTGAAAGGTTCCTTTCCTTATTTTTTTTTCCCTTTTAATCACACTGCTCCGAGCTGCTTTCATGCTATGTGACAATTTGAAGAGCGGACCGTGTAGCAATTTACGTGTTCTTTGTAACTCAGGTAGTAAAACCAGAAGATGATGACTTCCAGGAGTTTCAGGATGCCTCAAAGTCTGGCTCCCTGGATGACTCTTTCACTGATTTCCAGGGGGATGCAGCCAAAGCAGCCTCTTCACAGCACCGGAGCAGGTACCAGATCCTTSTTGTTTCTGTYRTTTCTCTGGCCAGTGCCTAAACTTYTGGTACATGACTATAAATCTCAATCAAAACRTCATTCAGACTCCAGCAATCCTGGCTTTTCCTTTGGGAGACAAGGTGTCATTCCAGATCAGGCAGGTTTTGTATAACAAAATAAATAAGCATGTTTCCTCCCTTTGAGAGTTCGCAGTTAACCTTTCAAGGTATACAAAGACTACAAAATTTCAGTGTTCTTTCCTCTTTATGCACCTCCCAGGTGTCTAATTGTASACAAAAACATTTTCTGAATAGGAACTGGCAAACAGCTCTGAATTCCATGTGAGCCCTGATTACCAGCTGCTTCCTCAGCAGGGACATCAAATGGGGATGCTCAACCCAGTTGTTCTGTAACACCACGACAAATGGCTTCTGTGTAAGAAATTTAGTTTTGCTGATKTYATAGAATCCYAGAATGTTTTGGGTTGGAAGGGACATTAAARATCATCACTTCCACCCCCTGCCATGGGCAGAGACACCTTCCATTAGACCATATTKCTTCAAGCCCTGWCCAGCCTGGCCTTGGACACTTACAGGGATGTCAGTCAGTGCCACTGAAGATGGGTCTGAAGATGCTGATTTTAGTATCTCTTGTGTGAGATGTCATTTTGCAGCTGAAGCTAATCTGTTAYTGGAAGTTTTGACAGAAAACTGTTTGTAAATTGTACAATGGGAAGTAGAGGATCATAAAAAATATTTCAAAAAATGGTGTTTCTTTTTCRCTGCAGCAATTCTCTTTATTCAGTTGTGAAAGCATTCAGTTTTGAACAAAATGTTACAATGAGCTATAATCTAATTGCTTATGGAGCTTTATTTAAAAAAAAAAAGCCATCTGTGGAGTACAGCTGATTAACCATTCCATTTGCCAAGATTGCATATCTAATAGCCTTCTTTGCAGGGATGGGAAATTTAATTATATTACCATAAGCTCTATTTTTTTTGCCATTGCACTGTCTGTCTGCAAGCATCACAGACCAGCATCAGCACATGTGTGCAAGTGCWTCGTTTGTGTGTTGCTTGTAGGCTGCTGATAAGGAGATTTAAATGGCTCTGGAAAGATTCTTGCTCCAGGCTGAAGAATGCAATAGAAATTCATTCAGGTTTTCAATGTGAATGACACAAACTAGAGGTAGAATGCATCATTCATATGTAAAGGATGTTGTTGTGTGGAGCTGCCAAGGTCTGATAACGGGGCTTGTGTGGAGGGCAAGCAAAGCTCTCTCCTAAATCTTCCAGCGTTTGCTAACAAGGTGTTAGGTTGTTGTGGCAGTTTTACTGGATAAAGTAGAGTGTGTTTATGCAAAAAGACTTGCTTGTGTAACTGTGGACTAATCCTTATTTTGCTGACTAGATACCTGCCTGAACTCACTGATTGGCACAGACAGAAATTCAAAGTTATTCTTTCCTTCCTTTGAACAGCTATCCCACTTTGTTATCGTAATTTTGCAATATGTAATGAGATACTTTCAGCTTATCTAATTCTGATTAAATGGAGCTATGGAAATCTCATGCAGTTTTTAACTGTTTACTGTATCTAGTTCTATCAGGGAATTTTCTAAGGGATAAATTGAGCAGGAGTGTTTCCTGGGGTGTGTYCATGTGCTTGTTCTCTCCTGGGCTATGGATTCCTTGGTGTAAAGTTCTGGAGTGTTTTGTTCACGCTTTTGATAGAAATTAAAATCGAGAATGGGGCAAATTGACTTCTGACCTAAAGAAATATGATTAGGTGAGATAAAGTGGGAATTTACCCAGCTGAGGTCATTTACATCARAGGCTGGATTAAGCACTCATTAAGGCATGAGCTAAGGTTTGGGAACCAAATTCTGTAGTCCTAAGAAGAGACTTCTTTAAATAAAACCTGGAAATGTAGATTTTTAATGAATAAATTAAGGAACTTTGCTTCTATCTCTTTTGTTTTTAGTGTTCCTTCTTTACTAATGCCAGTCCCAGGTAATAAGCCGCTCTCACCAGCTGATAAATATGCTGTGTTTAAAGGAATGGCAGCTGAGAAGCCTTCTGAGARTGCAGCTGCTTTTGGAGGTAAAAGGACAAATACACAACCGCTATGAGCAATTTATTGTAATTTTTCATGTATCTTCTTTTTGGCATTGATAAGATATTAATATTTAAAAATCAGAGCAATTAATATAACATTTACTGTATGAATTCATAATGTCTCTGGGTAAATGTATTTCTTTTCTCTTCTCTAGATGGAGGGGACAAGTACAGCGCTTTCCGGGAATTAGAGCAACCAGCAGAGAGCAAATACTTGGGTAAGCACTGGGGGTTTAACATATTTTCATTATCATTTTTAGCATTTCTCTGTGAGCTGCAGAATTTCCATTGCTGCAGTTCTAAAATAATGCTGGTGCTGSTTCTCTAAAAAAACTTGGTAGGAAGTAGCTTGAAAAAACAGGGCAATGTCCCATTGGAACAATGTGCTGATGGTATTTCTGGAAGATTGGCATCTCTTCTGGGTGCTCCTGAGTCTTATTTTAAAGTAATGATGTGGCTGGAATTTGTTTTAAGTAAGGAGTTATTCATTTATGAAACCCCTGTGGTGTTTTGTGAGGTTCTCATGCTCAGAACCTCTTCAGGATTAAAAGCTTGCAGTAAAATGAAATAACATTTGATCTCTTTCCGTACATGTTCTAAAATACAGAAAGCTGCTGTATTTCCCTGCTGTCAAGGTCTGACCACTCTTAACCCTTTCACCAGCTTACATTTCTAATGGAAAAGTTTGCAATTCTTCAGTAAGTTTAGTTTGCTGTGCTGTTGTAGTTTTGATCAATGAATAGCAATTTCAGGAATATTTTATGTTGTTGCTGAGCCAAATGCATTGGTTTGGAGGGAGGGAGAATGGAATAATRGGTCAGGTGTAGTTGTGGTCCTTTCCTACCATTATGAAGAATATTCTTTTACATCTTGGTTAAACTAATTTGAAGTATGACACTGTGTGGTAGCTTAAGAATTAAATACTGGTGATGTACTTTTAAAATAGAAAAAATCTGTGTGTTGGACACTTGTCTTAAAGTAAGCATCAATAGTTTAAAATTACAAGTAGTATAGGTATGTACATGCTGGTGAATGGGTTAAACAATGTTTTCATGTTCAAAAGTATTACTTTATGAAAAAAAACAATTGTTCATGAACAGGAAGAAAGTTGTAAAATTATCACACCAAAATATTTAATGTAAATTCAATGAAAACATTGTTACCTTATGTTGGTTTTGTCTCAGCCCTCTGGTGATCCCCCCTGAAAAAGCTGCAATATTTCAGAGGGAGGAAGGAAGGAATTGCTTCCCTAAAAAGCAAATACTATATTGGTATAAGTGAAATTCAAAATTACATTTATTGCTTGGCAAACACAAGGAGGATGAGGTGGGGAAAAGAACTTGCATGGAGGCCAAATAAGGCAGTATTGATCTCCTTTTGAATCTATTTGTCATGGTGTGTTTTGATATTAACTCAGTGTAAAGGGAGTTTAACATGACTTTGAGGCTATTTGAGAGAATTAAGTGTTTGCTGGAGTGAAAATTTGAATCACTGACCTTGACACTTGYGTGGTTCATGGGAGTTGAGTTTGCAGTTCTGTGTGCATCCCGAGGTCCTTAATTTAAACGGTTTGCATAAAACCTTTTGACACTGCATGAAACAATTTGCCTGCTGCATGGTGTGAATATGCTGTGTTTGTTGTGCAGTGTTTAACTGCTGTTTTCTCCATTTTTATCCCCAGGAGACAACCTTGCAGAGTTCAAGCCCGCGGGAGCCGACGATGGTTTCACAGATTTCAAAACCGCTGACAGCATCTCCCCATTAGAACCACCCTCAAAAGATAAAACCTTCCCTGCTCCTTTCCCTCCTCTGCCCACTCAGCCAAAACAGCCAACACAAACCAAGGCCCCTTTGAATCTGGCAGACCTGGAGCTCTTTTCCTCCCCTGGAGAAAACAAGCAGCCATCCTTTCCACCTGCGTTTAACACCTCAAAACCGGGCTCCTTTCCCCCACCACCCGTCCCATCTGCCTCCTCTGCCCAGCCAGCACCCAGCAAAACTTCAAGCTTAGCTGATGACTTTGGAGAGTTCAACCTTTTTGGGGAATTTTCTAACGGCGCATCAGCCAGCGGACAAGATGACTTTGCAGATTTTATGGCGTTCAACAACAGCGGGGGCTTTTCCGAACAAAAACCCGATGACAAATACAATGCACTCAAGCTGGAGGCCGGCCCCACTGCTCAGGCTGGCTCTGCCAGCACATCCAAGGGTGGGCAAAGCTCTGCCACCACTGCTACCCCCACCAAATATGACATCTTCAAGCAGCTGTCCCTGGAAGGCTCCGCAGCGGGCTTCGAGGAGGCGAAGGACAGCGCGCTCTCCTCGGTGAAGAGCGATGATGACTTTGCTGACTTCCACTCCAAGTTTTCTTCCAGCGGCGCCGAGAARTCGCTGGTGGACAAAGTGGCAGCTTTCAAGCAGGCCAAAGAAGATTCTGCCTCGGTGAAGTCCYTGGATCTGCCTTCCATCGGCGGCAGCAGCGTGGGCAAGGAGGACTCCGAAGACGCGCTGTCTGTTCAGTTTGACATGAAACTGGCTGATGTGGGAGGAGATCTTAAGCATGTCATGTCTGATAGCTCTTTGGATTTGCCAACAGTTAGTGGCCAGCATCCACCAGCAGCAGGTGAGGAACTGGTTAGATTGCTCTGGTAACGTAGGTGGTGCAGATTTCGTGTTCTCTGTGCTCAATTACAGTATTATGCACTCGTCTTTCAGTAGTGGAAGACTCCTCAGTGTGTGTCCCCGCCGGCCACGGCCCCTCAGCAGGGCGCTCTTTAGTTTTTCTCTTAGAAGACTATAAATATAAATAGCTGGAACAGTTTGAACTCCAGGCCAGTTTATTTTTGAGATTTAACATCATACTGGTACCTGTTCRCTACTGGCACTTAAAGGGACTCGAGTGGAAAATATTCCAGTGCAAACAAYGTCATTCCATTGATATCAGTGAGATGATGGCAGAGTCTCGCTTTAATCCCTTGTTTTCCACAAAGCATTTGGTTTGGGGACTTCCCCCTCTTGGCACTTCCCAAGGGTCACTAATTAGGGCTGGTAATGAGAAGMCAACTAATCACCAACACTAGTGTGCTCCCCTTGCAGTGGGGCTCGGCCAGGGTTTTGCAGGACTGCAGTTTTAGGGAATTTCACACAGCTTGCAGTGTTAGATCCCTGTGGGAATCATTGTGCCAAGGGGCTGCAAGTGCTGGTCTCATGATTGGGAGCTCTTGGACCTAAATTTAAACTGTGGGATTTTTACTTTATCAAGTTTCCACCTTCTTTAATTTCCCTTTATGACAACATTCCCAAGGGAGTCAACTGACCATCTCTGACCTGATCACATATCATAAAGCAAATTTCCCAAGTGTCCTGCTTTTTCTTTTCATATATACATAGGAGATAAGCTGTAGTTACATGTTCTGTGGCCTTCAACAACAWGGGAACCATTACTGTGTTCTAGGAYAAGTTTGATGCAGTCAAAGGCTTTTCTGAACAGGGGGAACATACAAACTGTAAATGCAAAAGCTCTTACTGCAAGAATTGGTTGTTTCCACATGAAATATTTCTTCCATTTTTTGCAGATATGGGTAGAGAAAAAATATACAGTACTGTAATTTTGCATTATATGATATTTTTAAGTAAGGGAGAGAATTAAGTTGGCAACTTTGAAGTGGAAAATACTCTCTAACAGGGTACAAAATATCAGGAATAATTTATTAGCAAAGACATTTAATTTTCATATTACTGCTTGGGAAAATTCCAAGTTGAGTGAGCTGTCAAAACGTAGCACCTACAGTGTATTCTTGAATGTTTACTTTGGGTTTGAAAGCACTTTTTCCTAATATTTTTCTAGCCTCTTTTGGTGGTAGTTTGACTTCTGTAGCTCTTTACAGGACGTGTGCTTTTGCCACAGCAATCCATGATGAATAATTGCTATTTGTGGCAGGAAACCCTTTTTTTTTTTTTGGTTTGTTTAAAGGGGTTAGCCCTTCATGTGCTTGTTGCTAAACTTTTGAACTCTGAAGTATTAATTAGAAGCTATTTTTTATTAAACTTAAACGAGTCTGTATTCTCCTATGGTGCCAAGTTAGATGTTATTCCAAAAAGGAGAGTTTTGCTCCATTTAACTGTTTAGATTTCGTAGCAGGACGTGCTCTGGACACTGCTACAAACACCCCTGTGCTCATGTGTTCCTTTCTGTGTGTTTGATGCATTTCAAGCTGTGAACTGCTGATGCTCAAGTCCTTTTTTTTTTCCAGTTTACATGAAGTTAAAAAGCAGATTTCTTTTCCCCCCCTCATCATTTCCTTGGACCATAAATCTAATGTCAAAAAGGGACAGTATCCCTTTGTCACCTCGCTGCTGGGAAACGGGAGACTTGTCCTGGGGAGCTGCATGTCTGCAAGCCCTGTGTCACATCTCCAGTGGAACAGCAGCAGGACWGAGGTGCTGGGGGATGATTGGACTTTGTGCTGTGCCCACACAGAGGTGTTTTGTCCCCTCGGCTATGAGATTTGACATTTGTAGCTTCCAGGTATGGGCAGGTAGGTGCTTATGCTGGGAATTAGAGAGAAATCCTTGGCTCGCTTGCCATGCCAGGACCTGTGGCTTCTGAGGGATGAAGTTTCCAGTTCTGCTCTCTCCAAAGGGGATACAGTCTCTTTAAGCTTGGCTCTGACTCTCTGTGTGGAAGGTAGATGATACTAATGTTGCCTGATTTCTCTTGCATTTACTCCGTATAACCCTTTGAGCACTGGCTGCATGTTGTTAGTTTGAACCGGGCTGCTTCTTTTACACCAAATTTACATTTCACTCGAGTTGAAAGCATTGAATGAGCACCTGCTCCTGTTGGGTGAACCTGATTTGTCCTTCCTGCCAAAGGTTGCAGTGAGAGGAGCCCTGCCCTCAAAGGGTTATCCATCTGCTGCACTGACACACCTGTAAAGTACCTTTTTCTTTGGCATTACTGGAGAWCTCTGTATATTTTAATCAACTTCAGGTTTTTTTTTGCTGCTTTTTCTAATGTCTGATTTCAACTAAACATTTCCTGTGTGAATGTGCCTTTTCAGATCTGCTTTGATATCTCTCTTCTGCAAGTATTGAACCTGCATGCTTTACTCTGATACCGCCCTTCCGAGCTCCTCTGTATCACTATCTTTTGTGATCTGTAAGTCCTGCTGTGTTAATAAATATTATCTTGGCATATTTTGAACACGTGGGGATGTGTGTGATTTGTTGCAAACCAGCAATGTATTTCTTTTTTCCTCAAAAAGACAAAGTTGAAGGTTCTGGTATCCCCTTAAGGTGGTGGGCACCCTTTCTCTYGCAGAGCAGCGTGTGGCTGAGCTTCTGTCTCCTCTTCAATGCTTTGACCTCGCTCCCTGTGACCTCCTGAATCTTTACATATTCACCTAAATTATATTTTTCCAAAGATCTGTGTTTTGAGAGAGATGCAGTGGAGGAAATACGTGGTGGCAGGGTTGTTTCTATGAGTTGGAACTGAGAAACTGTGTTGCTATCTAGACTTTTATGAGTAGAAAGCCCACTGAATAATATTCTGATAYTTATTTAGCTAATGCAGTGTGAGTTAATCAGAGTCCCAAAGTAAACACCCTGCTCCCTTTTTCCATTTGGGAAGTTCTGCYTTCTAAATATTGAAACTTTCAAACATGAATGACAGCTGCAAATTTGTGGCATGCAATTATGTCACTTCAAATTCATCCAAATCCTGAGCCACTGACAGCTTGGGATTAGCATCAAATTAGCAGGCGAGGTAAAAAGCTAAAAATAATTGAGATGTGGAATAGTTAAAATGTTGTGGGGTTTTGGAATTGCCACAAGAGCAAAAAGCAGCCCAGGATGTGGCAGAGTGTGGCTTTTCTTCTTTACACCGAGCTGGAGAGGCTTTAAAAGAAAGAAAAAAGGGAGAMAACCACAACAGCCCTCCTTGGATCTGGAGATGAGTAGGGTGGTTGTGCCCAGCCCTGAAGGTTTTKAAACCAAAGCTTTGAACATAAAGCTGAGGCCTCATTCTGCAGGGCTCGTGCTGTTGGTGTTTGTTCAGCCAGTCAATCCTGGATGAGGGAGAGGAGTGTTCATGACTGTGTTTGGGATGTTTTTATCCAGACTTGACAGTCAGACTCAGTGCCTTGCCCTGATTGGGGTTAATTCTGTGCACAGAGGAGCTGATCCACCCTGGTTTATCCCRAGGCCTCTGACAGGAGGGTGTGGATGTGTCTCTGGGGGTCTGAGCTCCCAGAGTGAGCTCAGGGCCTTTATTTTGCTGTGAAATGTTGTTTACCATGATGATTTTAGAAAAAAAATAGCAAATCCTGTAATTCCATGAGGTTTGGAGGCTTTTCTATCCTATTTTCTTCATTTTTATTTATCTTACAGTCAGCATTCTTGATGGTTTCCACCTTAGCTACAACCATTCTTTAAGGGAAGCAAATGGGAATAATTCCCTTATTATTAACTGCTCCAGGCTTCCCCAGCTGAGAAAAAGGCTTTRGATTTTTCTGGTTGCTGACAGGCATGACCCTGCTAGCAGCAGTGCACAAAWCTCTGTATTCTTCCAGTTTCAGCTCCTTCCATCAGGTGGAGAGGCACTGGAAGCAGGGAGCAGGTGATGCCTGGCTCAGGATTCCTGCTGGATGTTCCCAGGGTAACAGCACTGATGGGAGCAGAGCTYCACAGCCACCACCTGTGTCACCCTAACAACCAAAACGTGACACCACAGTTATATTTATTCATTAGAATTTAATACAAAACCCTGAAATCCCTAAATTTATTCCAATGTCCCTGCATTGTCTTTTTTCGTTTTCTTTAGACAATCACTAATGCTGTCAAGGGTTTTCCTTAAATGATTAAACTGTTGACATTGAAGGCTCCAGCTCCTAATTTGCCTCCAGCCATAACTTAATCCTTGGTAGTTGAAATAAATTATTACAGTTGGCTCAAATCAGGAGTGGCAAGTTTTCCTGTAGATGAGATAACCCTGGGAAACAATTTTAACTGTATTTCATCCTGCTGTGCATTCTGTTGCCTTGGCTGGCTCACAAAGGTGCAGCAGGTCCCAGGTGATGATCAAACAGGTTGGACTTTGGGTTTGGGAGCTCAGATAAATGGAAAAGAAATGGTAAATATTCCAGCCCTTTTGGTTTGGGGGGATTTCTGTTTAGGTTTGGTTTTAGCTGTTGTATGTTCACAGAAATGAAGCATTTTCATAGGATTTTGAATGGATTTAGTCTTTGCTTGTTTTTTTTTGTTTTTTTTTTATAACATTTGATGCTTTTCATCAGTTCAGATCCTGTTCTTATTCCAAGTGTCCTCCAGGAGGAATTGGGGGTTGCTCTGTACCCTCTACCTTGGCCAGGTGTGATGCTTAGTTAGAAATAATTAATACCCCTGCTCACTTAAAAAAATATTCTTCCTTTAAAAAAAAATATTCTTGACATTCATATTAAAAATTCTTAACTTTTATACCAGCAAAACAAAGCTTTTACTCCATCAGATGTTAAAATTGCAGCCCTGTAACCAGAGCTGTTGGATTCCTGGCACGGATCTGTGCTCTGTAAGGAAAGAGCTGTGGAGGAGCAGTTTTAGCAGTGCTTAAAAACCCAATTTTTGTGCCAGAAATGAAGGTGCTCACAGCACAGAGGGTTCTCTGGGGTCAGCAGGAGCAGGGCTAAAACTCCCCCTCATTGTGCAGCAAATGTTCCAGGAGCTCAGAGACTCCTTTTGTTTGCCATGGCTGTGACAAAGTGAGGATTTTACTTCCTCTCTCCAGAAACCTGTGGCAAATGATTCTCTGAAGTGCAGTGCATGGCACAGCAAAGTGTTGGGGTTTTCTCCAGTAAAATCTTCCCCAAAGAGAGTTTTCCTGGAATTATGGACAGCTTCACTTTCTTATTTTTCATACTTCTCACTAAATTGAGTTTTAGGACTGCTTGAGCTGTAAACACTGACTGAATGCAGTGTTTTTCCTGTAATATAACACTCCTAGGAAAAAGTTTATTCACTGGAGTGATCCTTCTGGAATTACAAAAAAAAAAAAAAATCAAATGTACAGAATCAAACCATTACATTTCACCTCAGCCCTTGCACCTCTGCAGAGATTTTGAGTCTGCCTCAATTCACTCATAGAGAATCTTAGTTTGTGAATAATGAAACACAGAAAGAATCTTAGTTTGTGAATAATAAAACAATTGTTCTGCCTTCCCTGCCCTGACCTATTGATTGCAGGTGAGTTCAGGAATCCCCCTGGAGCTTGCTGTGAGTTGGGATGGGATCAGGAGTGCCCTGAGCTGCTCCTTGGGGATGTGTTTGCAGAATCTTAGCAGTTATCACAGGAATAATTCCAGCAGAACGTGAGTGTGCAGATCCTTGGRATGGATTTGTCGCTCTCCCCTTTCCCTCCCAGGGAGCACCAGACAAGGGTGATGCTCAAAGCTTTGCTGAGTTTTAGAATCAACACCAGACAAAGCAGAGGTTGCCTGGTACCTGGTGGTATTTCCAGGATCCCAGGATTAATGACAGCTGGCTCACGTGTCAGAGGTGGCTCTGGCTCTCTCTTTCATGCAAAGCTTTCATTTCCCTTCTTTAAACAAAAGCTTGAGAGCACGAGGTGTGGTCTGTGGTGATAAATCACCTGCCCCTCTCCAGGTGGCTCCTTTCACCTCGGAGCCTTCTTTCTGTGATTTCATCTCTGTGTGTTTACCCTCTGCTCTGCACATTCACTGTTCCAGTGACACTTGGAYATTTTGTCTGTGTGCAGGGGCTCARCTCTGGCTTTGGGGTGCTGCCATGGCAGAGTGGCAGCTGCAGAAGGGGCTGATGGATGGCACACAGTCCTGGCTGACCCAKCACAGTGAACATTACACTGCAGCATTGCAATTTTGTATTTATTAGGGTTTTCATTAGCTGGGGATGTGGGTCATGCCCGGGAAGCAGCCCCGAGCCTGGCCTGCTCTCCCTTTCCAGTGAGGTGAATAAACCCAGGCAGAAATGGTTTGTTGGGCTGAGTAAAGAGGACACTGGGGAGTCAGCTCATTCCCTCGGTGGCTCTGTCAAACCCCAGTGTTCAGCAGCAGGAGCTCAGCTCCAGCCAGGCTCAGGGAATGTTTTGTGGCCTGGCTTTGCTCTCCCTGGAGCTGCCGGACCCCGCAGCGGCCGCAGCTCTAATCCAAACTGACAATTGCTGCTGCTGGAAAACAAATGCCAAATGGAGGATAGCAGGGCTGCTTTGCTAGCCAGGGGGGGTTCGTGTTTTAATGACAACTCCCTGGCTCCCTGTGCCTTTGCTGGGGATAAATCTCAGTCTGGAGGTGAAAGATCAGTTGGGTGGGAGCAGCCAGAGCCCCCGGGCACTGCAGATCTCACACCTGCCCTTGGCAGGGAGAAGAACCTATTGGGCCATTTAATCACCAGGTGGGTATAAATGTTTGGAGCTTTCTGCAAAATAATTGGATTTTCTCTAGACTTAGATTTTACAAACTATTTATTCCATTAAAACATGATCTCTGCCATCCCCCTGTCAGTGCTGGCACCTGGGAGTTTGACGAGTCGGCCGTGCGGCRCTGCAGGAGCCCTGATAAGCTCCAACAGGATTTCTAGGCTTCTTTAGATTCTTGCAGCACATTTTTATATGTTATTTGTATCAAAGCATGAATATAAAATTAAAGTGTATTAATGCTTTATCAGAGGAATGGAAAAGTCGGCCCAGTCTTCTGTGTGGTTGGACTTGATAAGATGAAATAATGTGTTAAAGGTGTTTGAGTTGTAACATTTATATTTTGATTGTAGATTCTGCAGCCAGAAAACTCAACTGGTGATCTGTGCAGCCTGGACTGGCCAGAAACTGATTTTTTTTAAGTGTTTCTTCACTACCCTTAGTGGTATGGTGACTTTCAGCTTAAAATGTAAGACGGCATTCAAAGGTCAAGGCTTACATTTATTGAACAGAGAAATTTTTGTATTAAATCCTCAGGTGTTTTCCAGATTATTTTTGTGCAAACTCCAGCTAAAGCCTCAGTGAGACAACAATTCACTGTGTTTGTTCTTGCAGTTCCTCCAGACTCTCCGCAGGTTGTTCTTAGGCGGCGTGGAGAGTTTAAGGTGTSAACTTCAGCTCCTAATTGTGGGGGTTTGTTTCAGATGTGGATGACTTAAAGTGTGGCCCGTTTGGAAGYTGCCACAGTGGTTCTGCTGTCAGCAGCCTGGCCAGCTACGACTGCTCCAGCTCCGACAGGGACGACATCCAGCAGGGCAAGAAACTCTCCTGCTCTTCCCAGCCCGCGGGGAGCGGCTTCTCCGCGGCCACCTCTGTCCTCCAGAAGAAGGAGACCTTGTTTGGCAGCTCGGAAAACATCACCATGACAACAGTTTCCAAAGTGACAACCTTTTCCAGCGAGGATGCTTCGCAGGATGTTTCCTTYGCAGCCTTTGCAAACTTTAAAGACTCGGGGTCGGTGTCGGGCGGTCCGAGCGATGATGATATCGGAGATTTTGGGGATTTTGCCAGACCTCCCTCTGATGCTCAGGATGCAGCAGCAGCTGATGCTGCCCTGGGTGCTGATTTCCTGGCTGGAGTCTCCTCTGAGCTGCGGAGAGAGGCCACAGATGACTTTGGGGAGTTCCAGAGCGAAAAACCAAAAATCAGCAAGTTCGACTTCTTGGTGGCGACTTCTCAAGGCAAAGTGAAATCCAGTGAGGAGATGATCAGGAGTGAGCTGGCCACCTTTGATCTRTCTGTGCAAGGTAAGCCTGCCCTCATGGTGCATGTGCTTATCAAAGGCTGATTTTCATAACTGAATTATAAATTAACTAATGGGGATTGTTCCAAAGGCTGCTGCAAACGACCCGAATCTTCTCATTGATTTCTGTGGCATTTGGAGCAGGTCTTTTTCTACAAGAAAAATATTTGTTGTGCAAAAAAACCTGTAAGAATTGAGGGACTGGGGAAATTTGCAGCAGTCGCTGAGCAAAGAGGAATATTTGTTCTTCTGGAGGAACAGGACAGCCCTTGTTGCCACTTCATTCATTGTAAATAGCTTGTGTCTTTAAAGGAGTAACTTTCTATACCCTGACTTTTTAGGGTCTCATAAGAGGAGCCTGAGCTTGGGTGACAGAGAAATAAATCGCTCCTCACCTTTGCCAACTCTGGAGCAGCCATTCAGGGACAGATCCAACACTCTGAGTGAGAAACCAGCACTGCCTGTGATCAGGGACAAGTACAAGGACCTGACTGGGGAGGTGGAGGTAAGTCTGGAACACAGCTRAGTTGGTGCTGCTCTCAGGGCTGTTTTATATCCACCTCCTTGGRGCTTTCACTGTTTGTTTTTCACCAAAAAAACTGGTTGGTTTTTTTTTTTTGACATGGTGTCTGGGTACACTCATGAGTGGAACCTGGAAAGTTTTCTTCTCTCGTGTCTTTCAAGGGAAGTGGGAGAACGTTGTTGTCTGAAACACAGGAATCACTTGGCCTTGCAGCCTAAGCTTACAACTGGAAATTAGTTACAATTTAAATCTAATCCCAGCTTTGGCACTGAGAACGTTTGCTTTGGGAAATGGCATTGCTCTTTGGCTGCMTGGCAGTTATTTCTCTTGCTCATCCTGAGAAGAGATGGGAAAAGGACTCAGATTAAATTCTGCTAATCCCCACTGCTAAAAAGCAGACTGTAACAAATGTGCCAGGAGAAGGTGTGTGCAGTGGAACCTTTTACCTACTCCTGTATGTTCTTCCTTTTGAAATTCTCACTCCCAGAAATCAAATTTTAGAGTTCAGGTTCACAGAAAACCTTGAAAGAATGGAGGGAAATTAGGAATAAATCTGTTAAAAGTTCACACAGCTAATCTGCAAATAGTCTTTTTAAATAGCTGTCTGCTGTGTAGGAGAAAGGGAGAGAAATGTGTGTAGGAACAAGACTGAGCCTGTCCTTTTCTTTGCACTAGGAGAGCGAGAGGTACGCCTATGAGTGGCAGAGGTGCCTGGAGAGTGCCCTGCAGGTGAGTGTGACACCTCCTCCTCCACCAAATCCCTCCCTCCTTCTCCAAATCCCTCCCTCCTCCCTGCAGGAGCTGCCTCACTCAGTGTTTGAGACCAGCAGGCAGAGAAAGTGTGGGAATCAGCCCTGGGAATTACAGCTTTTAAACCAAAAGCTGCCACCTCCTCAGCTAAACACCCTACACTAATCCTCCTGTCTCTGGGGATTAGTTTGGCTTTCCCCTCAGTGTTCCAACTCTCTGTTTGGTGCTGATTTTGGGTGCCCAATGTTGTGTTCAGGGCACTGGTACCAGTGCCTGGCTCCTCAGGCTCCCTGTGCTCCTGGCAAATATTTCACAGCCACATCCGTGCTCCTCAAAGTTTTTTCTTTGCATTTGTGTATTTGACAGCCCAAACTGTGAATGCTCTTATTAAACTAGATAGCAAGGCATGTATGCTCTTAAAAATCTTATTTTGGTAATGAAAATATTGGGGGGGGGAGTACATTAAGGTGTTAAATGTTCTTGCTTTCCCCTGATCTACTTAAACTGGAGTGTRTAAAAACGTGGGGTGGAGTGTGGCAATCATCTCCTATTTAATTTGCCTCCTTTTTTGAATTACAGTTTCTGCTGGGGGCAGTCTTGTTTGTAATAATTAYTTAAAGATGGAAACCCCATAATTTTATGAAATTCATTTCCACCAGGTCATAAAGAAAGCAAATGACACCTTAAATGGAATAAGCAGTTCATCTGTTTGCACTGAAGTTATCCAGTCTGCTCAAGGCATGGAATATTTACTAGGTAGGTTTTAATTTTCCATGTGTTTTTACATTGAGAGTTCTTCTGTTGAAAACAGGAATATAGAATCACTCTTCCCCAAATGGCATTATTTTTTATCTTAATCTTTGCCTGCACCTAAATAATGAAAAACATTTCTGTCAAATTAATGTAACTCTGGCTTTGAACTAACCCTTCATGGCCACCCCTCCTGTGCCACATCTGCTTTTGCCATTTCTGAGTTCCAGGCTTGGGATCCAGTGATTCTGGAATTGAATTCTCTTCAATCCTGCCTGTTTTACATCCACAGGGGTTGTTGAAGTCTACAGAGTGACAAAGAGGGTGGAACTGGGCATCAAAGCAACTGCTGTGTGCAGTGAGAAACTCCAGCAGCTGCTGAAGGATATTGATAAAGTGTGGAACAACCTGATCAGCTTCATGTCTCTGGCTGCTTTAACGGTGAGAACAAAATTAACTGCCTGGTTACTCAAASAAATGCTGTAATTATATTTAAAGACACTTTTCTAACTAGACAGTTTGGGGTGTTTTTTCTCTTGAAAAATGGAAATGCACTTATTTGTGAAATCCAATTTAAAACCCTCCAAGAAAACTGATATTTATGCACAAACACRATGTTGTCTTACTTAGTACCTTAATGATTTAGGTGATATCCTGTGTGTCTCCAGTAAGGCAAATTTAATAAAATCCAAATAAGCCATGCTACAAGGCCAGAATGACATGGACATGCCTTGTTTTTTAATATCCCTGCAATTGGTTTTAATGCTCACAATTCCAAAACACACAGYGGAGCAACACAGGAATAACCAAACTGTTTTCCCTTCCCTCTGTGTCTGRAACTGCCTGGGTTTGTTTTGGTTCCTACCACAGACTAAACAGCTTTTCCTCCTCTGGAGCCAGGAAAAACTGAATTTCTCCCAGTTTGGGAGGAGCTTTGGACAGRGCTGGGTGAGGGATTTGGACAGGGATGGGGTCTGAGGAGCAGGAGCATCCCATGGGAAGGGTCTGCAGARGGGCACTACAGAATACCCAAAAACAGGAGGAAAAAAAAAACCAGGAACATCACCCTGCCATTAAATACCTTGTGGATTCTGTATATTTGTGTTGCAGGAGAGACAATGTGCAAAATTACTTCCTTTAACCGTGGAAAAAACTCATATTTTTAGGGARTCATCCATCTGTGTGTGCTTTATATTGAATTACTGAGTGGATCCCTTTCACTCAGTGCATATCCAAGGAGTCTTCAGCTCTCAGGATCTCACATCACACCAAGCATCACTGAGCACATCATTACCATAGGGAGGTTTCCACTGAGCATTTTAATTTGTGGCTTCCTCCTCTCACTGCAGCTGTGGCCACAAAAGGTTTTTCCTTCCCAACAAACACTCATTTACAAGTAAAGCCTGGTTTCTGCTTGGAATAGCCATCTCCAGCTCKCTGTCATTCCCTACAAGGCAGATAWTATAAATGATCAGTCCCTTTTTGCACACCTTTTGCACATTTTAAACCTCCYCAGGTGCTTTGGTGATGTCCTGTGATGCACAGAGCCTGAATTTATATTCTCAGTATTTTACTGCTTTGATAGAGCTGGATTCACCTGTTTGAACCCTGGCATTGTTGATAGGAGCAATCCCAAGAGTTATCTGGATCTTTTCCTAATTTAAACAGGTGGATTAAAATACAGTTCCTAAAGTGCTTTTCCTTGGAAGATTACAGGGATTACCTGAAAGTCCAAAGCTTGGCCACGTGTTCTGCGAGCCACAGCAGCTCCTGCCACATTTTAAACCCATTAAGAGCTGCAAACGGTGACTTTTCACCTGCACACACAGTCCAGCTGAATTTACCAAAACCCCAGGGACTCATGATTCCTATAATTCTCCAAATCACCCCTTTTTTTGGTTCTTTTCCCCACGGAATTCACTGGAAGGGGTGGAACCCACACCTTTGGTGTTACAGCCACAGATCCTAAATGATGCAGAAGGGCCAATTAACTGCAGAGAAGGATTCCAGCTCCCAGGCATGTGCTTGGAAAGGTTAATTTTATCTTTTAAAGGATTTTGTTACAAGGTAATTTTATGCACAGCCGTGTGGTTTTTTCACAGCAAATTGCAGGATGACCTTCTCATTTGCTTCACTCATGCATTTGGTAAACAAATATTAGAGTGCCTTTATTAATTTGATTGATCTGCTTAGAGATTAAAGGGTGGTTTTTTTTCAGCATTCCAATTATTCTGCAGCCATTCAGCAGGGCAGTGTGAGCAGCATGCCCAGAGTGTGGATTAAGAGACACATGCCCTGGGATCACACCATTTTTTAAGCTTCTTGCATTTCTAGTCATTGCTTTTATTTGTGCTACCATTTTCATGCAAAATTTGAACGGTTTTCYATCACCCTTATGCAGTGTTTTAATTGATCATTTATCCTGTGGCTGAAATGTGAGGTTAAGTGCTGGAAAATTGTCCATATTAATTTATAATTTACAGGCTTATTCTCCCACCCTTTGTCYCTCTTTCCCCTGAGCTTGTGTGTGGCTGGTGCCCGAATTCTTTGGTTTGGATAACCTGAGTATCCTATTTTGTACTGCTGTGCCATGTTGTAGATTCCAAAAAAATCCCAAAAGAGAACACCAGCTGCCCTTTTCCACTGAGGTAAAATAAGGGAGCTCAGGACAATGGATGCTGCTGCAGTCACCTTTCCAGGGCTCCCTCCCCACAGCTGCACAAACACCTGCAGTTCCTCTGTTTGCTTTGCCCCACTTCCCAGTTCATTCCCCCTTTGGATGGGGAATGTGCAACTCAAGAATTCCTCCCTTTGTAGTCGAGGCCTTTTTTAGGGCTTTGAGTTATAAATKAGTGCTGATGGAGATGGCAAATCCATCCCAAGAGCTTTGATGAGTGTCACCCCTGCCATGCCTGTGTGACACGCTGCTGCTCAGTGATTTTTATTGTGATGTCTGAAACTTTTTCTTTCAGTTCCTGAAAATGCCTAAACGTTATTGTCTCCTTTCTTCAGCCTGATGAAAACTCCCTGGATTTCTCTTCTTGTATGCTGCGCCCAGGGATTAAAAATGCCCAGGATCTTGCTTGTGGAGTGTGTCTCCTAAACGTGGATTCCAGAAGCAAAGTAAGTGTGAGGGTTAAAAAAACTCCTTTTGAATTTCATTTCTRGAATCCCAGAATGGTTTGGGTTGGAAGGGACCTTAAAACCCATCCAGTGCCACCCCTGTCATGGGCAGGGACACCTCCCACTATCCCAGGCTGTCCAGCCTGGCCTTGGACATTTCCAGGGATGGGTGGATTGAAAAAAAAATCCTGGCTATAATTTGTAAAGGGCAGAGGCAAACTCTGAGATGAATCTCAATAAAATCATGGAATCAAATGTCCAGTGTTGCTTAGGCTTTGATGTGACACAGTTATGGAGAAAGGATTGAGATTAATTGTTCATAATGGGCAAGAAACTGGGTTACTAAGATTTAAAAACTATGCATGTTTTTTTTTAACAAATAATCTTCTAATGACTTCTCTTCGTGGAATGGCTCACCAGAGGGGATTGTTGCCATTAGMAAAGCTGGGAGGGACTCCCAGGACATGTGCAGAGTTGTGCCAGCCAGTTAAAAATAGAGGCACTTTTCCTGACTTTCTGGTTTCAACGTTATTTCAGAAAGAAGAGAAACCTGTGGAAGAACTTCCCAAAAAAGTATGAACCCGTAAAAAGCATTCTTTCTGGACTCATTCTTTTTGAGTGTGGAAGGCTGAGCTGCTGAAGGGCTCTCAGCTGTCATTCTCAATTGTACCAATCATTAATCCTCTCCCTCAGTCATGTTTTTGTGGCCCTTAACTCTTGATCTGATCAACTAACATGCTCCAGAGYCTGCCCTCGTGTGTCTGCATGCCTGTGCCTTGTGCCCAGCTCTCTGGTTTTGTGCTCCTTCTGTGCTCTACAGAATCCCCAAGTTTCTCAATCTGTGTGTCTGTGGCAGGAAAAGGGGGGATTTTGGGGGCTTTGTGCTGGAAATAYTGACTTCTGCCTTTGTGTGGCAGGCAGTGGCATTTTTAGAAATCTCTGCAGGAAATCCAGGGTGTGGAGAGCAGGGCTGGGATGTTTTTTTTCAATAGGGAGCTGTGAGGCAGTGGAAAGGATCTCCTAGCAACAAACAGCGAGGTGGTTTCAGCCTGTTCATGGCTTCACACGCTCAGAGGCTCCCATTGTGAAGCAGCTTCAATTAACAGGAGGAAGCAGATCAAATTCAACCTGAAATAACAGCAACAGCAAGAGCTGCACCTGCCTAACCCACAGCCAGAGTGGAGGCAGGGAAATAAATGCAGGAGCTGAGCTTTTCCCTGGTTAGGGAGATGGACAAAAATCAGAGATGCAGGGAGCAAGGGGAGTGAGCTGCCARGGCTCAGCTCTGGGCTCCCTTCCTGCAGTTGTGTGATGGCCAAAGGTTTTGTTCATCTGCAGCTAAAATCAAATCGAGTTTGTGGGGTGGAGTGCTGGTGGGAGGGTCCTGTGCCRTTTTCCACTCTGGGTTTAAACCCTGCACTGGATCAGACTGTCACACTCATTTCAATTCTTCTTGCAGGCCTTTAATTCTGAGACAGATAACTTCAAGCTGGCATATGGAGGGCACCAATACCATGCCAGCTGTGCAAAYTTCTGGATCAACTGCGTGGAGCCCAAACCTCCAGGTCTCATCCTGCCAGAYCTGCTCTGAAAGCAGCTGCACTGCAAGGTGGAGCTTTGGGGTAATCGTGCAAAAGGACTTGGGGGAACTGCTGTGGTGGAGAGGCTGGAGCTGGGGTTGGGGTTTGAAACGTTTGGGGTTGATTTTTGGACCCAAAAATCAACAAATTAAAGCTGCTGTTACCATTACACTTGTAATGGCCAAGGTTTCAGAAATAACCAGAAAATATGTAGTATTACAGAAAAAAAAAAAGGTGGCATTTCAGTCTTTCTGAAGATGAAAATATGTTATCCTGGGTAAAAGCAGCCWGGTAATGTGCATAAACCTGGGAGAGGCTAGCATGGAGCTTCCCAGAGAACCTGGAATGCTGATTTGCATAGAAATGAGCACTTAAATACTTGAAGTCTGTATTTGCAAGCAAATCTTTTCTTTAACGTTTTGGRGACATGGACCTCGGTGTTGTTTAAGTATTTGCTGCTGTGATATCACAGCACATGAGTCACAGCAGCATCCGAGGCAGAATGAATTATTGACTCYGAAGGAGAAGCTGCTGTGTGTTTGYAATTCCACTGCTCTGTGTTGGAAGTTGTGCTGGAGGCAGAACTGGTTAATGCTGGGAGTAAGAACTGGAAAACTGCTGGAATTTTCCCTGTGCTGTCTGGATCCTGTAGTACAGGCAGCTGGAGTTTAAAACTCTTTGTTGTAAATACAGATAAAAGTCCCTGGATTTGTCCTGAGCTCCTGAGGTGTGATGATGTCTCTCCTGACCTTTTTGGAGTTGCAGCAGTGCTGGGAGCTGGGCTGTGCTGATGCAGCACATCTGCTCCTGTGTAGATACTTTACCTTTTTTGGCTGTGGAGATGCTGTTCCTGCTGGCATGGGATRGTTGTGGGTGACTCGTGCTACCTGTAGTAACGTGTTGTGTGACTCAGAGCTGGCTCCTGCAGCAGGGATGGGATTTAACAGCYAAAGGGATTGAAGGCTGGAGGGTGGTGGTCTCAGCAGGCAGTTTGTCCCTSCTGGTTGGTGGCTTTTGGAGGTGCCTCTCTGGACAGSTTGGCTCTAACTAAAATAGGRTGTAAATCTATGGGGTGCAATTTTYTCTTTRMTTCTTRGGCTTRGTCWCTCAGATCTGTCCCTTTTCTCCAGAGATCTCAACAGCTTCTCCAAGCTAATCCTGCCCCCATTACAAGTACCTGACACTGACCTGTGGTTATTTGCTGAAACAGAAATTACGACGAGGAAAACGATGCTTTGTATTTAAAAAACAAACAGGCTTAGTTATACGAAACTATTAATTAGCCCAAATGAAAGAATCTTGGCTCAGAGGTGTCTGGCTCCTTCCTTACACCAATTACAATAAATCTCCTTGCTGCCTCAAATTAGCTCATTCATGAAATAAAGCACCGTGTGCCTCCAGCTCCGACTGATCCAGAGGCAGATTTCTCGTGCTGTGCTTCCCACATCCTGCCCAGGAATTATCAAAAATGCAAAAATGATTCCCTCACCAGTGTCCCCACAGGAATTGGGGACAGGAGCCAGTGACAGGTATTCTCCAGTGGCTGGGAGAGGCTGGTGCTCAGGGAATGCTGTGCTGGGAAAAGGGAGTTTGTTGCAGCCTGCATTTTCACCACAGCTCCCCAGCACTTTGCTAGAGAGGAATTTTTTTYCCCTAATTAAAAGAAAATGCCACAAACAAGAGGCCAGAGTGTGAAATTCAAAGCACCAGCTGYACTGTCACAGCAGCATCTTCCAGTGCTGGTTTTCCTGTACCTGTAACCAGCTCAGCCCCTCTCTCACTGCATCCAAAGGCTCTTTTGGTCCATAAAAACAAAGAATGGACATTTTCAAGGAATGGACATTTACAATTCCAACTGCAGCAGAGCTCACTGAAGGGTGACACTGCAGTGGCACCATCCCTGCCTTTGTGGGGAGCAGGAAGCTTCAGCCCTGGGAACACAGGGAATGTTTGCAGGGAGATCCATAAAAACATCACACAAGGAGCAGCAGCTCCCAGTGACTCACTGGAGCATTCAGCATCCTCTCCATGYTGCTGCCAGCCAAAGCCCAGTGTCCTTCCAAGCTGTATCCAAGGTGACAGGATTGTCACAGCCCACCTTCCCTTCTCCTCTGCTGCAGCCCCCTGGACACACCACCTTCCCTTTGCTTGTGTCCCATTTCAGACCTGTAGCTCCTTTCCCTGCATGGATTCTCTCACTGGAAAAGAGAAGTGAGATTTTCTTGGGTTTTTTTTGGTTTTTTTTTTAATCTGAGTGGGGCTGCTTTGACGTGACCTGTGGAAAGTGAGCTCTATTTGTGTATATTTGGAGTTGTAAGGAATTATTTGCTCGGTTATTTAATGTATTTATGCTTAACCTCGTTGTGTTCCCAGTGTTTCTGTGCTGTGGCAGCTTTTCCTTGGTGCTGGGGCTGCCCCAGCCTCTTCCCTGCCCTGGGAATTGTCACCTCCTGTTCATTCCAAGGACTTTTCCTCCCTGGCAGCAGCTTTTCCTGGCTGGGTTTGGTCAGAGCAGCTCCTTCCCCGAGATCTGTGCAGGGTGTGGGGCTGAGGGTGAAGCTTTTTCCATGGAAACCCACGGAATGCTCCCAGTCCTGTCAGCTACACTGGGAATCATAAACTTGAAACAAAACCTGCCTTTCCAATAAAAGCTGCTATTGTACAAACTGCTGCTTTGGGTTTATTTTTCATTCTGGACCTGTATTTAATTCAATTTCTCAATGTTAAAATATGAATGTCATAATTTTATGAAGAAAAGTGATCAGAAAACTTCTCTCTCTATTGTGATTCTTCTCCTGCCCTCTGGGCAAATGTTATTTTTCTTCCAGAAGTGGTTTTGTGATTATTAGTTGGAGCTGTTTGGGTTTGTGCTATGCTGGAGTTGCTGCTGATATTTTAAATCTGATGAGAATAAGTGTTATTAATTGACTTTAGTACCTTGTTTACTCCCTTAATTCCTGCAATGATTTATAAATCCTGTGTTGAGATTTAAACCTGGTGTTCAATAAAAAGCTCATTTCATATCTGACCAGCCTGAGAAGCTGAAATATTTATATCACAATGTAAGTGAAAGCTGCTTGGTGGCTGGGATGGGGAAGGGGTCTCACCAAATATTGAAAGATAKAAAATACTTTTCTAACAATTAAGATACCATTTGGAAAAAGCCCATGGGGAGCAGAAAAAGGGGCGTTCCCCCTCAAAAACAAAGGGTGTGCTCACAGCAAGCCAAGATAAACCAGGGCTCTCTGTTTTTTGGTTTCTGTAGATTTGAGAATGGACAAAAACCTGGATTTTCAGGGGGAAAACACTCCTGTAAAATCTTTTGCTGGAGTGAACACAAGAGGAGCTTCTGCAATGAAATACCCACAAGCACTAACACTGTAATATAACCCTGAATAATATAATAACCCTTGAATAGGGATTTCAGGTGAATTCTTTGTTTCCTGATGTGCTTCATTAGGCAATTTCACTTTTTATARGTCTAACTTTCCCTTGTTTAAGTCAGCCTTTGGTGCCTTCTTGGCTGAACATCAGCGTCTCCCCCACCCCTCAGTCCTGGGAAAGTGTAAGGTCTGTGGAATAATTCAAAGTGGAAAGTTTTTACCTTTCAGTTTTTACACAAAAAATGCTGTTAAATCCTACTTTGCCCATTTTTAGGTAAAGTTTAATTTTGTGAGCAGATTTCAGATTTTAGCAATTTTTCCCCTTTAAAATGTCATGTGTTGGAACATCTCCAGTCCAGTGATTAATCTTGATTTTCACTCTCCAGTTCYTCACTTAGCATTTCCCTGGCTAACTCCTGATAAATTAGGGAGATGAGTCCCCTGTGTCTGCCYGTCACTGGAACTGGGATGCAGCCRTGGAAGCTGAGCTGGGAGCAGCTGATGCCAAACCTCCCCTTTATTTCAGTGGGACAAAACTGTGGAAAAGCAGGAGAAAACTTCCTTCAGCCAGAATTATTCAAAGGCACTGCTGAGCCTCCACTAGCACCGTTTGGAACAGGAAACCAACACATGTTGTGGTTTAATCTTTATTGATTTTTTTTTTTTTTTTTTTTT